CTTTATGTTAAATAAAGAATATAAATTAAAATGTAAAATTGATTTTAATAATGATGACTTAGAAATAATGGTGAATGATTTATATCCAAATGGCAATAATTATACGGATATAAAATTTGATGAAAATTTAAAAATCACTAATACACGTGTCGATCCACTATTTGGTGAACAGGAAATCTCGGATATTATTATACAACTTTGTACAAAGTTAAGATATGGAAATGATACAATTACGCCCAGCATTATTAAACGCTGTTTTGACTCCGAACCAAAATTATTTACCTCATTGTTTAATAAATGTTTCAAGCTGAAACATTTCCCAAAATCATGGCTAAAACCACGTGTACACATGATTCCAAGGCTGTGTCAAACATCTTATACTAAATCATCATCGTTTAATGCTTATATGAACTTGTCAATTTTTGGTGATATATTTTTGCAATTAATCATAAATAGAATTAATTGGCATTTAGCCAAACGCTATAAGCTTTCTCCAAGACAATTTCACGACGGAAGCCGCTATAATGTCAACAAAGGTTTACAATCTATTCATGATTTCATAAAAGATAATAATAAAATATATAATATTGTCATATCTCTACCGATAAAACAATTTTGGTGGCCACAGTTTCTAGCAAAATTAATCGAATACGATTGTCCTAGTTATTTGTACGAAATTGTCAATAACATTTTCAATAGTGAATTGAGCACTGATATAATTTTATTTAATAAAGAATTTGAATTCACAATACTCGGCTGCCATGTCATACCAAATAATATATATGGAAAATATTTGTGGAACATTATCGTAGATGATATATTTAATGGTAATGAACTCTTTGACGACGGTGATATAAATGCGAAATGTCAAATGATTAATGAAAATCTAATAATATTATTACGCCATGAAGATATAAAACCTTTACACGATAAAGCTAGCACTGTATTAAAAAACCTTGAAAAATATTCAAATAGAAAATTATCATTCTTTTACAAGAAATTAAAATGCGGAATTTTTACACATAACAAATATTATTGCATGCCTCATTTAACATTTTTTGGACATAAAGTAATGGTAGCTGATCAAATAAATATTAATGGCTTAATTTTTGATCGTAGACTATACTTTCACGAACACGATAAATATGTGTTCGACAAATCAAGTAACTATTTAAACAACTTGCTAATGATCGCCAATAAAGAGTTTAACATACCATTAAATGATGCCGTTGACATGATTTACAATCATATTATATTACCTTATTGCGCTAAATTTGCACCTTTTCTATATGAAACTAATGATAAGACATTGAAGTATATTAAGAAAATCCAAGATATGTGTAGGGAGAGAGCCAATATTTATTATCTTGATATTGAACATCATCTAAAAGGGAAGTCAGTTATTTCATTGATACATGATACAAATATTAATGGAAACATAAAAAACAAATTTATTAAGGAATTTATACTTGACAATGTGTTACATGATATCGATAGATCTGTACCATTATATTCATTACCGGATTTGTGGATTAGGAAAGTAATTTCCCATAATAACCATGATGCAAATTTAAATATATTTGTCGCTGTTGCAGGACAATCAGTATCTTATATGATTATTAATAAACAGAGTGAAGTATTAGCAAAAATGTGTCGTATAAATATAAATAAAACTACCGTTTGTCCACCACAAGCATATTTATTTATAATTAATAACGCACTTCACAGATTTGAAACATTAAATGTTAAAAACGACTATGACCATGTTAATATTTGTATTGATAATAATTCACACGCTGACGAGTTTCTCGATCCAAATTCGACTAATAATTATTCAAACGAAATTCATAATCTATATTACAAATTGATTAAATCGAATATCCAATTATTTATATGTAGTATGAACTTTAAAAAAAATGTGGATGCACAAAAAATAAATAAATTTATGAAAAATTGCAACAGGAAAAAAATAGCCATGACCTATATACAACATTCAAAGGAATGCTTACAAATGATAGTTAATAAAAAAAATGTATTAAATAATAGATATTGGATTTAGACAGTTTTATTGTAAATAAATATTTTACAATCCTGTGATTGTTTAAGATCCTTAAATTATTTTAATTAAATATAAATACTGTATATTAATATTTGAATTTTTTCACACATTTTAATAACAATTGATTGTTTTTTAAATATATAGGTAAAATATATAAAATATATATTTAAATTGTAAATTCCAATAATAAAATGTGACCTTTATATTTGAGTTATTTTATTTTTATATTTGCAACAGCATTGTAATTATTATGCAATATATTAAAATTTCGTAATAGGCAAATGATAATTGTTTTTATTTAAAAACAATTAAAATGAGTAAGCATTGTCAATTTTCAATAATTTTATTTGCACTTGGAAATCTAAATAATCGTAAAATGTCTGAAACGGATGTATATATTTGTTTTTAAATTGTTCTTGCTATACGATCAATTATATTGCGAGCTTAATTACGATGAACCTAAACCGCTCATGATTGGCTAATAGCAATGGGTGTCAATGAAACCATGAATGAGCTATATACATTTTTACCCATATACTACGAAATATACGGAAGCTCTACAATATTACAACGATTAGGCGTAGGAATGTTATTACAAAACATAATTCACAATGCTCAATTTGTGGTTAAACGTATTACGGATAGTACGTACGATAGTAAAATTGACCCAAATGTACAGCGTGTTGCAGCATTAGGTACCATGTTTGCGGGCTTATATCTCAAAAACTAAATGAGATGGAATATTATTGTAAAGTGGGTTTATAACAGTAATGTATGGGAATTTAAAATCCACATTGATCACTTTTTTGTTCTATTTAAAAATATTATTTTAATAGACACTCTTGCAGAGTAGAGTTTCCCGATGAGCAAAAGGAGATAGGTAAAAACTTAACATAGCAATTCTGAAGAGGAAAGTATGAACTTTCATATGTGGTATAGTATGCTAAAAACCCCCCCAACATATCGGTAAACGGTTTTAGGATGATATATAGTTTTATAACCTAAAATAAATATTGATAAATAATAGTGTCATAAAAATATCTTATCCTTTATTCTACCCAATCCCACTTTTAGTATATAAAATCAACGAATCGGTATAAAATTCATACAAAAACATCTGATATTGAATAATAAAAGCACGATTATAGATTGCAAATAAATTTCAAAAGTTATTCGAGGAATATATAGAGAAATTTTTACCATGTTGGAACAAGGATCGTATCATTATGGAATTGGTATGACAATTATTTTAGTTAGTACATAATAAGTTATACAAAACATAATTATAATTAAGTTAATTGCTTAGATTAATGCGATCACACTATTCAACCCAAATCGACCCGGTCTTAAACACAGATATAATGTTAGGTAATTGTACCTGCACCAAATAGTCACTTGATATTGACTGCAAATGTGTGTATGTATGAGGGAATATGAGAAAGGGTTTGTAAAGTAAAATGAATTACCAAATGGTATGTGATAGAATTAATTCCAGTTTATAATCTCATGTTATCATAATAGATTAAATAATTGATTTGAAGTCAATCTTGTGTGATACTAGTAATATATTTTATAATTTCTATAATTAATTTCTTATAACTATGTTTTCAATTTATATGGTGATAGACTGGAACAGCAATTGTATATTTATTTACTGCAAAGATATCTACTATTGAAGTGTCGATCCGATTGTGATTCAAAAGAAAGGTTATGTAAACTAATGAACACTTTCGCCGATATCTGTAAAATAAATGAATTACAAAAATCTATTAGTAATGAGGACTTTAAAGATTATCAACAATATACTGGACCACTGATCAGGGAGATTTACGACATACAAATAAAGTAACATTACCCGATAATATGGAATTATATAAACATTTTGTATTAAAATTATTCATTAATAATAATATTTTTACATATCATTTTTTACTAAAACTTTGTTTACTACAAATTATTAATTTTGCAATTAATCAAATTAATATTTTATTAATCAAGTTACCGGTAAGTTGTTTAAATAGTTAAACTATTTACATTAATACTGAATTTGAAATAAATGTACCAGTATTTATTATTAGTTATGTGTCAAATACGGTAATCTTAAAATGACAATATATATAAATTTATATTGGAAATACGTGTCCTTCAATTATTATTAATACTAATTTATATGAATTAAATTCCATATATATGTGTGAAAATTTATTTAAACAACAAAAATCTCTGCCATCATACAATATTCTAATATCATAATAAGAATTACAAACTTAGAAAGTTTTAATACAAATTATTAATTTTAATAAAATTAGACAATATTTATTTAACTAGATGTCATGTTTATACCAGTGTAACTGAATTATATAGCTAAATGTTGTGGTAATTGCTTTTGATAATCAAAATTGCTGATAAAAAACGCAATCAATCGTTTAAGGGAGTTGTTATCAATAGAAAAGTTGTTTATCAAGTCTAAAAATACAAACTGAATTATATAGCTAAATGTTGTGGTAATTGCTTTTGATAATCAAAATTGCTGATAAAAAACGCAATCAATCGCTTAAGGGAGTTGTTATCAACAGAAAAGTTGTTTATCAACTCTAAAAATACTACATTTCCAGCCCATTATACCATTATAAAGCATATTTCATCAGTTATTGGAATATTACATTAATTCCTACTATTTATATATTTTTAAAAGTATTTTCTGATGAAATTAAAAATAAAAGTTTATTCATAATATTTTTAAGTTATACAGTATAGCATCATAAATAAATTTTGTAAAGTAATATTTTCCTGTATTGTGTTTGAATGAATATACAGTAGTATTATCACATAAAATATACTGATTTATCATACTATTGTTGGTGTTTATAAAGTATATTGTGTAACATTATGTCAATTTAAATGGTAGTTACGAAATATATTCGTCAAAATAAATTCATATAATATTCATTGAAATGAAAGAAAAAGTGGACAAAATTTGCGAGATTTGCAGTGATAAAGGAATCGGTAAATAAATATTTAAAATATAATTAATCTTGAAAAGTTATAAATAATTGTGTGTGTGTTTTATAATTGTGACTACAAATTATGATCAACTTTTAGGCCGACATTTCGGTGCCATTACCTGTGAATCGTGTAAAGCATTCTTCAGGAGGAATGCCAACAAAGATAAGGTAATAGAAAAGTGAATCAAATCTTATTGTATCATAATTAGGGAATAATTGGCTATAATTGCTGAAAATTTCTGTCCATAGCTATTGGAGTGCCCTTCGGATGGAAAGTGCAAAATAAATGCAAACACTAGAAAGTTGTGTCAAAAATGTAGACTTAATAAGTGTTTGGCTATGGGTATGAAAAAAGTAAGTTATTGTTGAACACTACATAAGTATACTTTACTAAATATATTTTCATGTATTGATAGGAATTCATATTAACGGATAAGGAAAGGGAGGAAAGGAGACAATTAGTGGAAGATAATAGACGTAAACGAAAACAATTAACTGAATGTCAAAAATCATCTCAAGAATCAGATTTGCCATCAAATTCTTTATCAAATAAATCCTCAAATCCTCCATCAAATGAGTCGACCATATCTTGGTATAGTGACAGTGACTTCTTAGGTGATATAACCGCATGTGTTTTGGATGTAAGCGATGAGGACCTGAGCGCACAGATTATGGAAATTGAAGATTATGTCAACAATGAAGACTCGGATCAAAGTATTGAGACATTGAGTGATAGACTTATGTTGCAAGACATCAATGAGAGATCGCAACAAATAGCTGTCATTCCTCTGTTCAAAGAACTCACGGATTATAACGGTTTGAATGAATTGGAGGCCAATAAGATTGGGGAGCTATTGGGCGCCTCCAAGTTATTTGACTACCCGACCAGTAAAAACATAATCAAACTGACGGACAAATTTAATTTTGACGAGTATTTGAGAAGTTATTCTCAAAGAACTGAAGAGAGTGTCAAAGAAGCCCTAAATTATAGCAAAATGTTGAGTGCGTTCACGAGTGTATGTCCTGAGGACCAGTATACCTTGTTCAAACACGGGTGCTCGGAGCTTTTTATGCTTAGGTGCCTTATGTTTTATAACCAGGATGACAGGAATTTTACAGTGTATATTGTATGTAATTAATAACAATCATATCAATATGGTATTTATAAACTCGTTGACATTTATTTTATACCTTTGTTTAGGATAACGACACGACATATATAATTAATTTTGATATATTTAGCGATGAAATATCATCGGAATATAAATATTATTCAGTATTCAAACAACTATTTGATGATTTTATATGCAAATTTATGCCCTATTGGAAAAAGGACCGTGTCATATTGGAATTAGTATGTGATTATTGTATAGTAAACACCATGATTTAATAATTACGTTAAAATATTACAGATAAACGCAATCGCACTGTTCAACCCGAATCGACCCAATCTTAAACATAGACATAATATTAGGTAACTAATAATTATTAGTTATATTATATTTTTATATAATAATAATACTAATAATAATAAATAGTTATTGACTGCAAATAGTATGCTTAGTTTAAAATGACCGATAAATGATTATTAAATTATTTTGTTAAATAAATACTTCTTGCACTTTTAATATTGCTTTTAGTGTATATTTGCAACCAATAAGATGATTATTAACATAAATATGGGATTTTTGATTTTAATTTTAATTTTATTATAAACCTTATAATAGACTGGAACAGCAATTGTATATTTATTTACTCCAAAGATATTTACTATTGAAGTGTCGATCGGATTGTGATTCTCAGGAAAGGTTATGTCAACTAATGAACACTTTCGCCGATATCTACAAAATGCTTGAATTACAAAAATCTGTTGGTTATGAGGATATTAAAAGATATTTAAAATATACCGGACCATTAATCAGGGAAATTTATGATATTCCAACAGAATAACATCTAACATTTAATAAATAAATTTTAATTACGGGTAAGAAATTACATTTTAGTTAATTAGCTATTCATTATTTTAAATATTATGTATATAATTTGTATATGATAAATAAACTCATTATTTTAAATACATTATTCAATGATTAATTAAAATTTATACTGTATGGCATACAGTGTATGCTATTATATTCTGATATGATATAATAGGTTTGTAAATGACTAATATTAATTTATTTAAAAATATTATATCAACCTTATATACAATTACTAAATTATAGTATGCAACTTATTATAAATATGCTGCAAAGTTTCAAATCTAATTATTAATTAAGGGTTTTAATAGAGGTTTGCAATATTACTATACCAAGAAGTCATGGCTATACAGGTGATATCAGGTCTTATCATAATATTGTACTAAATTGTTATTGATTTCTGATAACAATGCAATCAATCGCTCAGTGAGCTATGCCAAATAAATTAAAAGTGTTCATCATCATTTTAAAAAATGTATTCAGAACTCATTGTGCCGAACATTTCATTAATCATTGAAATTACACATAAATAATACTAATTATATAATTTATAACTTTAAAAGTAATTTATTTTTAAATGAATATTTTAAAATCGTATTGGTTGAGTTTAGTTTGATGTTCAAAATATACTCAATAAACAAATAATATTCATAACAATGAAACAGAAAGTGTACAAAATCTGTGAGGTTTGTGGCGATAAAGGGATCGGTACGTAATGATTAATAAAATTAAATAATTTTAAAATTAGCTCAAATAAACGTTTTAATTGCATAAAAATGTGATGCCTTTAGGGCGACATTTCGGTGCCATTACTTGCGAATCGTGTAAAATATTCTTCAGGAGGAATGGCAACAAAAATCAGGTGATATTAATTTGGGTATAAATTTATTTGTTATAATTTTCACTAACTATTGTGTATAGCTATTGGAGTGCACTTCGTATGGAAATTGCAAAATAAATCTTTACACTAGAAAGTTGTGCACAAAATGCAGGCTTAATAAATGTTTTGCTGTGGGAATGAGAAGGGTGAGTTATTGAAAGAAGTCCCGTTTATTTCTAAATTAAATTGTTTGTCTGTATTGACAGGAATTCATACGAAGTCATGAGGAAAGGGAGGAAAGGAGACAATTAGTGGAAGAGAATAGACGTAAACGAAAGCAATTGAATATAAGCCAGAATTCATACCCAGAATCAAATGAGTCATCAAATCCATCATCAATGGTGTCGACCATATCCAGTGATTGTGGTGTCAGTGACTCCTTCTTCAATGATATAATAGGATGTGTTTTGGATGTAAACGAAAGGGAACTGAGGGAACAGATAATGGAAATCGAGAATTATGTGAATAATGAAGATTTGGATCCAAATATTGAGACATTGAGTGCCAGACAACTGTTAGAAGATATAAACCAAAAGTCACGACAAATGGCTGTCATTCCTATGTTTAAAGAGCTCACAGATTATAACGGTTTGAATGAATTGGAAACTAATAAAATGACCGAGTTGTTGGGTGCATCTAAAATTTTTGAAAGAAAATAATTCATTTGTAAGAATAATTCATTTTAAAAATTATTTACCCAATGCTTTATCGCTACAAATCTCGCAAATTTTATTCATATTGTCTTTCATAATAGTTAATAATATTTGAATTTGCTGTCAAAATATTTCTGTGGAAACCATTAAATGTTGCACAATACCTGTATATGATTACAAAATATATGATACACTTACTAATAGTCTATTAAGTTACTATGTATTATACTTTGAATTTATACTTTTCCTTCAAACATAAAATACAGGAAAGATTTTTAATTCAAATTATTTGACAACAAAACGTAAATTTTAGCAATTTAATTTTTAATGGTTTCAATGAAAAATAATCACAATTTATTAATAATAGAAATTTATGTTTAATTCTAATGGCTAATGAAATATGTTGTATAATGTGTTTATAATGCACCAGTTTAGACTGATCTGGTAGATAAGTTCACTAAGCGATTGTTTGCATTTATTTGATCAGTAACCAAAAACAAATACCATACCACAACATTTATACAATAATTGCATCAGTATAGCCATGGAATATAAATAACTATATTTAAAATAAATTGTTAATTGTGAAATTGATTTTTTGAACAATTTGAATGATTTAAATAATTATAAACACAATGAAATAATTTGATTTAAATTGATACAAACCTGAAAAGTTTTTAAAAATTCTTTTACCTATAATAAAAACTAGATATTTTCTGTATATTAAAATAAAAATATTTTTTATTTTATTAATTTACCAAAATGATTGATCAAAATAAATTGTAATTATTTATGATGTGAATGTTTTTAACTAAATTGATTATTTATACCTGTATATAAATTAAATTCTACTCGGATCCTGGTAGATCATATATCTCACTCATTAGTGGTCCATATCTTTTAATTTCATCAATTTCTGCTGCTTTTTGTAATTCAGTTATTTTGTAGATATCGGCGAAAGTGTTCATTAGTTGACACAACCTTTCCTGAGAATCACAATCCGATCGACACTTCAATAGTAAATATCTTTGGAGTAAATAAATATACAATTGTTGTTCCAGTCTATTATAGAAAAAGATAAATAAGATTTATAATACCTACAATTGATATTATAATAGCTTACCTAATACTATGTCTATGCTTAAGATTGGGTCGATTCGGGTTAAACAATGCAATTGCTGTTAGCTATAAATAATATTAAGTTATTTTATAAGTTTAAATTACTAATATTATTACTACTTAAATATGAACATACTAATTCCAACATAACACGATCCCGATTCCATAGGGGTATAAATTGATCTAAATATTTCTCATATAATTCTTTTAATGGCAAATAATATTTGGTTATCACGTCTTTAAATAAATGAAAACCAACTATAATTGAAGTGTCATTATCCTAATAATGAGATATTTTGTTTAAGGGTATTACAAAATAAGTTCATTTTAATATTTACCACATATAAACTAAAATATTTGCCATCATAGTTATAATACCAAAGATTTCTAATAAACACCAACTCAGGGCACCCGTACTTAAATAGTGTGTACTGATCCTCACGACATAAACTCGTGAATCCCGTCAACCCTTTGTTATAAATTAGCACTTCTTTAATAAAGTTTTCACATTTTTTCGTAGAAATTCTCGCGTAATCTGTTATGTTCATCATTTTAATTAAGTTCTTACTGGACGGGTAGTCAAATATCTGGGACGACCCCAACAACTCGGCAATCCTATTGATTTCCAATTGTTTAAAACCGTTATAATCTGTGAGTTCCTTAAACATAGGAATGACAGCCATTTGTTGTGACTTTTGGTTGATATCCTCTAACAGTTGTCTGGCACTCATTGTCTCAATATTTTGATCCAAGTCTTCATTATTCACATAATTCTCGATTTCCATGATCTGTTCCCTCAGTTCCCTTTCGTTTACATCCAAAACACATCCTATTATTTGACTCATGAAAAAGTCAATACAATCACTAGATATGGTCGACTCAATTGATGCTGGTTTTGAGGACTCATTTGCTTCTGAGGATGTGTTTTGACTTTTATTTAATAGCTTTCGTTTGCGTCTATTTTCTTCAACTAATTGTCTCATTTCCTCCTTTTCCCTATCGTTTTGTATCAATTCCTGTTAATACAGACATTATTTTGTTAATTTAATTAATAAAATAGAGTTCACAATTAACTCACCTTTCTCATACCCATATTAAAACACTTATGAAGTCTACATTTTGTGCACAACTTTCTAGTGAACGGATTTATTTGACACTTTCCATCGGAAATGCAATTCACTACCTATTCAATGGTAATTTAAACAGTTATACATTAATAACAAAATATTTTCTAATTAACCCTTTGTGTCAAATATAATCACCTGATCTTTGTTGGCATTCCTCTTGAAGAATATTTTACACGATTCACACGTAATGGCACCGAAATGTCGCCCTAAACCACATCACCATAAATTATAATTATAATTTCTTCATGGTTTACAATAAAAATTATATACCGATTCCTTTATCGCTACAAATCTCGCATATTTTGTTCACATTCTGTTTCATCTTGATAAATATTTATTTTTAGATACTATTCAATATTATAGTATATTTTGTTTATAACTAATAAATTTTCTATGCGATTTTCACATTAGAATAATTTTTAAAATATATAAACAGTAGCAATTTGTGTGCAATACCACTGACTAATAAGATTTGTTACACAATGAGCAGGGAATATTTTTATGGCTGATAAACAATTATGTGATAAAACTAAATCGCTAAGTAAATGATCGCTTTTATATTCATGATAAATAGCTGTTGTTTTCATATTTAATGCATTATTGTCATTAAAAATCATTTGTACAGTGCAA